TTTCTCCAGGTGCCACCGTGAATACCTCTTATCGTCGCATTTCTACATCCTGACAATAGGATGGCACGGAACGCTTGACTGATTTCACCAAAACGAAGTGACATTCGCCATAGAAGATGACGTGGTTTGTGTCACGGACCTAATGTCCCTAACCCTGTCCTCCTCGTCCTATCCTACTCTACCCTACTCTGACCCTTCTACCTCACCTGCTACTCAAACACCGTTTGAGCCCAAACAAAGGTAGAGAAGGTTTGTCTGCACGTTTGAACTGATCACACAAACAAGCAAAATCTGAAAAATGACACGTTAATTTCTTAGGAAAACGGGCGCCTTTTGGGGTGCCGGTAAATAAAGAAACTCGAGTACCTTTATTACTATATTCACATGCCCAAAAATCATGTGTTAATGTGTCTCCAACAGCAGAAATTCACCTGCCAAACTGACAATGAAAAGGTAACTGCATTGTAATGTCGTAATTCTTTCAAGTTATCACCAGTATACTCTAGCTACATGCTAAAATACAATATTTTCTCGTGCATACAAAAAGGCAGACTCCGGACTGGGACGCGTACCAATGAATACGAAGGGCGTAACAGAAAATCGAGCACTCCAGAATAATGAACTACCCAAGCTCTTACTTTTACTCCAACATACTACCTTCTATCAAAAAAGAAGTGAAGCCAATATTTCAAGAGATGGTGTTGGTAAAAATCACATGGTTGACAAGCTGAGTTTGGCAATGCACGGATAGAAGCCATCTCCATCACCATTCTCTGCATCGTCAGAGATCATTTTGCACAACTGCACCTCTTCAAATCGCTCATTTTCAATAAGTTGGTAAGTCTCAAAGGCAACAAGGACACCCATAGCTGAAAAGGTTTCCGAAGGACACCGATTTGTCAGGGCGAGATTACCTGTCTCGGCGGCGAGACGCGAGGTCTGGCGCTGGCCGCGCAGGCGGGAGTTGAGCACTGTCGCATGAAGTTTTACAGGGTCGCCTAAGCGACGACGGCCACTGTGAAGGCCGTGGGAAGTAAACATATCAGCCAGACCGTTGGCAAGGCTCTGGAGACGGCGACTCTGAGCGTCTTCTTTCGGCTGGAGAGGTGAAAAGAAAAATTATCAGAACAATAGCGGCCACCTTAATAATGACGTTCTAAAGGTTTGTTTAAGCAGCTAAAGTATTCCTTGCAGTTGTATAACCTGGAGGTTGAAATTATTTCTAGATAGGCATATTTAGAGGAGTGCCATCAAGGCATTAAAACAGAAGAAACGGATTCTAAAAGGATAATTTACAAACAATGCAATACAATTTTTGGTAAAAAATGCCAATGAAAAGCGGAATATTTCATAGCGAAAAAAATTGCGTACCAGAATACCGAAAGCTGTGGAATAAGTGCAATCACGAGATAATGAAAATAAAGGAGATAATAATAAATTAAATACCACTTAAAATGGGCAACCAAAATTTAAGACGATCCAGGGTAACATGTTTAACTGCTGGTACCAGTGGCGGTCATTTGGGTGACTACAGCATATTTGATGGGCGGACTGTCTTCCAAAGAAATGTCTCAACTCCCTACTCCGCCTACTTACATCGGCACATATGCATCTAAGACAAGTACTATATCTTTTCTTATATTTAAGGAAGGTTCGCGAAGCTACACTCATAAATGAGGCTAAAAGCATAAAGCACACCGTGAGCATACGGAATCATTCATGGCAAGAGGAAACCGAGGGATTTTAAAAAATAACGGTCTATTTCCTTCTCTCCGAATAATGGGAGCGACATTTCGGTCGCACAAGAGCAATTCAAAAGCTCTACAAAATATTTGCCAACTGAATATGCAATAAGGCAAAAACTACTGGAACATCATAAAAGCACTACCATTTGGAACTAGGTAAGAAGCGGGCAGAAGTTTCGCACTGGTGAATCGGAAATGGTGTGAGAAATCCAATCACTTAAAAGCGTTTCGCCAAAATAAAAGTTTCAGTGTAACAGCTAAAATGGCTTCGCTGGAAATTGGGTACTTCATCAGATTCTTTTCAAAATAGCGTTAGCTTTAAGAAGGGAAACAATGCAACGATCTCCCATAGTTAGCACAACTTTTTCAACTACCTGTTCTGTGTCAAGTAGGAAAATAAATGAATTAACCATGGCAAAAATTACATTTTTATTTGCCCAAAGATAGTAAAGCATCAATTGAATCTTGAAAGGAAAAAAATGCGAGGGAGTAACGAGAACATTGATAACACTTACGGAA